ATAGTATGAACTCATGACCTCTCATGGCCTCTGCTGCAGCGCTGGAAAACTTTTAGCTCCACCCCAGCATATGACTTCAAAGGCTTTAAATCATGTCTTAAACGATGATATATTCACTATGAGGTACAGTATGTGCTTCTTTAGATTCCTGCAGAACAGAGGCGTGAGGTTTAATGTATATAAAAATATACATGAAAAGGGAGTGGGGCACTAACCATGTTAAGGCAGTAAGTGGTATTACAAAAGACAAAGCTGTAAATTCAGGGTTTGAATAATAGATAATAAAAATGGTGCTGTTAATTGTACTATTAGACTGAACAATTTGATGGGCTGAAATACAGTTAAAGCCCCACTGCAAAACATTTTAGTCAAACAGTAGACTACAATAAGCACTAAGCACAATAAGTTATTGCACTAACATGCCTTGAACATCATGCATCCTTACTGTGAGCTCACATCTGACTTGTCACTTGGCCTAGAGGTGGGCACATCATCATATTGCTTAGCATGAAATGGTCCGCACAGTATTCCTTACTTTTTAAAACACTGCAGTAATATCAACATTGTTAAATACCCATGATTGGTCATTGTAATCAATTGGGGGAAAAAAGTACAAAATGGACCAGTGCTACAAAAATATACAGTAAATTGCATTAATAAATATAACTTTTCACCTCAGTTCATATTAAGTAGAGATAGACCGATGACCGATGTGTTCAGCCTCCAGAGAAACCAATGCTCTGATGATATTTTAGTGATTTAAGTTTTGTACAAACTCCCTCTCACAGCCCTTTTTACCCCAAGCCTGTAAGACAGCAGTATAATCATATTTTGTGCATTTATCTCTTCACACTAATATGTTCAAATAAAGCATTAGGTCTATTCTTCTAGGCAGCAGGTCAGCCAAAACAAAATATCAGCTTCTGCTTGAGATTTAAGGCAGTTATACTGTTGATGACATTTTCCGTTTGTAGTCCATTTACTTCCCATCTCGCACCAGTATTAGTATTAAACCCTTTGAAACCCTTTGTGTATGTTAGAGCTTGATTTTCCTTGTGTCTTGTTTGTGAACATGCTGTCGCCGGGATACGACTGCTCCCTTTTGTGCCCCCACTGCTTAATGTCACTGAAGACAGGCAAATTGTAGGTGCCATTGTTGGAGATGGAGGGCCAGGGGAACGGACTGGACAGCTTGACAGCTCTCATTAGCGTATTACACACAAACAGGCACACAGATGCTCCCGGTCAGTCCGTGGTCAGGCCCAGAGCTTTGCTTAACGGCACGCTGACAGGTGGCTTTGTGGCTCTCTGTCTCGTGGCTGACAGGGCGGAGCTCATCTGCAGCGGAGAGCTCAAATGGTCAAGGGCGACTGATATTTTATAGACACCATCAAAAAGGACAAGTTAAACAAGTGAAAAGCTTGGGACTGGTAACTTGTTCCAATGCAGTTGTTTAAGAATTTGTTGAATGTGCTTCATATGTTTTAATATTGCCTTCTAAAAACAGCCACAGTTTTAGACATTGTCCATACTGGAAATTTTACATTTATATAAATAAATGACTTCGTGCTAGGTATTATCAAGTACAATCAGTCAGCATGTAGTCATGGAGTGCCTAACAAAGACATTGAACCAACTGAAAAAATAAAGGTTGCATCGTTTGGATTAGACTCCCATGAATCACTGCATATTTTCATTACCCTATATAAAAGTTTATGTCTTTATAAATGTCACACCTCAAAACAAATATGCACTGTTGTAATAAATGTAAAATGATGCAAAACCCTCACAATGAAATGAGATTATTGCAGTAAGACTACGCTCTGTGAAAAATACAAAAACGAGAGGAATTTGTCATATTTACTTCTGCTCACCATAATTCTCCATCTAATTCTCTCTCCAGCCTGGTAACTTTAATACCGCACCCAATCATCTATTTGATCCCTGAGTAACTGTGATAACAGAGAGGAGAACAGGAACGCAGTTGTATACGCAGCCTGTTTCATTGGAGCAAAATTTGCTACAAATCTAGTTACAATAATGTAGGGCTAAAGGTCATGAATTTGAAAAGCCGTACTTTAGCTCCCTCAAATCCATGTTAAAGATTCAGTGTCAAATCATGTGACAGAGTATGCCATAAACTCCACGGAGGCTCTCTGCAGACTCATATATGCATACTTACTTTTATAGGCAGTCATTTAATAGTGCATATAAATATACAAACAAACCTCTAGTGCTCTTAAATCCCTGCACGCTCTCTGACCTAAATACAACAGAAATACTGTACGAAAATAAGGAAAATTCCACCAGATCTGAGACTTCTTGATGTAACAACAATATGGGCTCAACACTGCTCCAGATGCTAAATTAGTGATTAACAGTACAAGAAATGTTCACTCTGATCAAAAGGTTCAAGGATCATATGGTAGGCTACTTACCTTGTTTCTATGAAGTCAGTGTCTTTACTATTTTGCATAATTTCTGGGAAAAATAATGGTGGTCCCTGAGTACACCTTTAAATTCAGATTAAGTCTAGTTTACGCCCAACAAAAAGTCTCAAATGTATCCCAACTGAGTGTGAGACTGTGAGATTTGGTCTAGTTGAAAACATTTTACCTCTTTTAGCAGATTGAGGGGCCAAGATGAGGGAGCAGATGTGCAGCAGCAGGAGAAGTGATGACCCGTTGCTGATGGATGTGGCAGCCATGACGAGTAACCAGCATGCTGTGCTGTCGACATCAGAGCACACGGTATGAAAGAGAGCCACGACTCGTCAGAAGTCCTTGTGTAAAACCTGTTGCATTAACAAGGCAAGCACACATAAAGTCACCCCATAATACAGTAACACAATACTTTGACATAGGTGTGTGAGATATACCAAAAAGTTAATACCACAATTTTCTTGGAGCCAATTGTGGTATGAGTGGGAGTTATTTGAAATATTTGCAGCGGTGGAACATAACAGTACAAGTAGTAAAGTACTGAACTTAAGTAGAGTTTTGAGTTATATGTACTTTACTTATGTACATTTTACAGTGGATACTTTTTACTTTCACTTCACTACATTTGAAAACATGTATCTGTACTTTCTACTTCACTACATTTCTGAACAGAACTAAAAAGCAGAAAGTACTTTTCAGATTATTTTAGGGTTATTTTACCATGTTTGTGGTGACATCCTGACTACGTTTTTTTTTTTAAGCTGAGCTTTGAGCAAATAAAAATAATTTCCCTTCAGTGTTCAGTTCAGTAGTCCAGTTGCCTGTGATCCACACTGGTTTCCTCTGTTACATATTCTGATGCACGTTTTTGTATACTTAGCTGGACTGGAAGATCGTTTAGTCTTTAAACATGTTCTGAAATATATGAGATCAGGGTGACCAAACGTCCGTTTTTCCCCGGACATGTCCGTATTTTGCGTCATGTCCGGGGCGTCCGGGTTTTTTTTTTTACAAAGTGATGCAAATATCCAGGTTTTCAGTACCGTTCATTGGGGGCATTAAACTGAGCGTCTCTCGTAGCGTCTGTGACTCAGGAGCGAGACACAAACAGTCGGTCAGTCTGCAACATACCGAAGCACAAATGCGCATTTAACAATGACTTGTACAAGAAATTCTCCGTTTTCCATCCCGTTCGGGACAAGTGTGAGTCTATGTGCACAGGTTGCGAGGTGAGAGTACAGGTCCTTCGTTTATCGCCAGGTTACGTTCTAAAAATAACCAGCGATAGGTGAAATCCACGAAGTAGTCAACTTTATATTTTACAATTATTATATCTGTTTTAAGGCTGTAAAACCCCTCAGCACAAACTTTATACACTTTTCTCACACAGGACAGGTGCAACTCTTTTTACTTCCTTCTTTAAACTTATTGCTGCTGTCGTCATGTTATTTCCCTCCTTCTTTATGTAACGAACTGAAAATTCATGTATTCTGTTATGGAGCCGACAGTGCAGAGTCCGGGGTCGGTTTTTGGAGACCCCCAGTACAACACCGCACTCGCGCAGTACAGGACCGCACCTGCCCGTTAACCAGAGATTATATCAAACTTTTGCGCTGCCTACGCCACGGACTGAACCAAGACTAAACCAGGACTAACCCAGGACTGATTCCAGGACTGAAGAGGAGGACTAATCCACGACTGAACTAAGACTAAAACAGGACTAAACCATTACTAAACCAGAACTGAAACAGGACGCAGGAGAAAGGACCGGCTCAGCTCCGCACCTCACGGAGTTAAACGCGGCAATTGCCCGATCGCGCTTTGTGGACAAACTGCTCGGCGTTCTCCCTCTTAAATCCAAGATTAATCCTGGTTTAGACCTGGTTTAGTCCTGACCCACCCGTGTGTAATTACTACCTTCTGTAATACACAATACGCATTCATAAAAAAAAAAAAAAACATGCAAAATTGCACACAAAAAATCCGAGAAACGGTGAAACCCCCTCCCCCAAGGTGTCCGGGTTTTCACAAACGGAAATATGGTCACACCCTATATGAGATTCTTAATTAGTTCGGTAGTTAATATTTCCATCTTCTCTCAAAAGCAATTCTCTGGCACGTGTACTTTGAACAGAATAGCCCATTAAGAAAACATAAATCGCGCATATATATCAATGCTTGTCCAAAAAAAAATTTAAATAAAATAAAAATGCTCGTTTTGTGACAGCCTTGATTGCTCCATGGATCTATAGTTCTATGGATCGCTCTACGACAGGTCAAAACTTTTTAAGCTGGCACCAGCCTGTTGGCCGTCTGTGCTGTTGGTATTCGTGAAAAAGATGGTTGTGTAGTTTATCAGTTAATCACGCAAAGATAGGCTGCGTGTGCGCTCGGTCACATTTTAAAACTCAAACAATCATATTATGAAACAGAAAGGCGTACAATCATGCCGCGATATGTTGATTACACAAAAATAAATCCATGGTTGATGGTGTTGGCTATTTTTTGTCACACTCTCAGCGAATAACTACATGTCCCACAAGTCCATGCGCTTCTATTTACCCACAAGCCTTTGCACGTCTCGATCATCGCTCTCGATACAAGAAGGTCGTGTTAGCAGCGCAGTTCAGTGACAGAGGATAAACCAGACACAAACAATGCTGGGACAAGCTGTGAGGAGATTCACAACCTCCGCCGTGCGTGCTTCGCACTATGCCGAAGGACCCGGCCAGGTGAGGCAATTATCTAAAAAACAAGTTTGTTTTAGCTCTATGTACGACTAGGCCTAGCTAAGAAGCCGCAGTTAGCTGCCGGTTAGTAGCTTGCGGTACTTGGAGGTCATGGAAGTAACATTTCCATAGCGTATCAGTGAGTAAAACAAAATATAATGTTATTCAATAGTCTAATCTGAGTTACCACTGTGTGGTATTTTCAATTCAGAAATTAAAATAAACATTGGTGTGATGTGTTTGTGTGACCTGTGTTGTTTAAGCATTTCGGCTACAAGCTAACTAGCTTAGCTGTCTCAAGGTTCTAATGATTTTGGAACACTTCATTTATACAACTTTTTTTTAATACGTGTTGTTAGAAGATAAATTTTACAAGACATATTAACGTTTGCAGACATGCATTTCTTTAGAATAAACCCGTATTTTTTTAGCATATTGGTCTAAAATCATAGGCTACTTTTAATAAGGTCATATAAGGCAACCTTGTTACTTGCGTTCACTTTTTAAACATTTCAGAACAAGTAGGGAGTTGATTTTATATATAATATAAATACATTTCATGTGCACAGATTTTTCTGTTTCATGCACATGCTTCAAGGAGCATAATATTATTTGTGACATTTGTCATATTAATTGTATTCTATGGCAAATTTATTTTTATTTATTTTATAAAAACGTTTCTTTTGTAGAACCTGCCATTCTCCGTGGAAAACAAGTGGCGCCTGCTGGGCATGATGGTGCTGTTCTTTGGCAGCGGCTTTACATTCCCCTTCATCGTTGTCAGACATCAACTCCTGAAAAAGTAAAATGGCTCTGCTATTGTTCATCCCAGAGGTACTTATTTCAGCTTTATCTTATCAGCTTTCCCCTGAAATCTCAGTCTGCTGGCAGGTTATATAGCACACTTTTTTATTTACATGTAGTAGCAAGTTTAGACATGCAGATCACACATGACAGTTTAATGTAGACTTAATACACATCAGGTGAAGCAGGTCAAGGTTTTGTTGTCACATTTATCTCATGTTGGCACAGAAATTGCTTTTCTGTCATCAAACAAATGTCACCTTATCAGTCTCTTCTGTTTCTTGTCTCCCTCTCTGCAGGTGATAGCTGGAACATATTTATCCATCAGGGTTTTGTCCTTCAACTAAATGGAACCAGTTAATTGTCTTTGTAAATAAATGCCCTTAAAATATGTGCACGCCTCCTCTTTGTTTAACTCTAAAATATTTAGTTGGCTTCAGTAGTTCAAGTATGATTTTGAAAGGATAACAATCCGTTTTATAGTATTTCAAGAAATCAGCATCAATCATGTGTTAACTTAGAAATGTGCAATTTTTGTCTAAAATTGCACCTACGCATTTTAATACAATATATGTAAGGTTAAACAAAAAAGCATAGTCTGCTTTCCTTACCAGAGTAAATGTTAAAACATATTTTTATTAATACTCTGAGCATTAACTGTATCTAGGAACAAATATTAACTTGAAGAAATTGAGCAGCTGCTTGGACCCAGAGCATTAATGAAGTGTGAGCATTGAAAACCAATGGAGCTTGAAAAATCCAGTCATCTTGGCCTTTCAGGTTTTTTGATTAGTATTGGTATTGTTTCCCTTTTCGATAAATGTTAGCACTCAAGGCAGCCTTTTTGAATAACTTATTTCATTTCTACTACAGCCTTCAGCTGCTGGCCATAATTATCTAAGGACAAAGGATTAGAATGGTGGGTGTGTACGCCCACTTGGGAAGGACCGCAAGTCTAAAAAGAAGGGGCTTTCTTTGCACTTCTACTCATTATTAGATTGTGCCTGAAGAGATTTTTAAATGGCAGCTATGGTGAATTTTCCATTGTGTATGGTTAAAATGTAGCAAAGAGCTTGACCAGCAGCCTTAAATCTATGTCCATGCTTTTTAAAATCCCACTGGCTGAGGAACGCATTAATTCCACCTTTTCAGTTTATTTTTAAAAAACAATCTCACCTATGTGTAAACCTTTAGGTCAGGCTCCTGTTGGATAATGGCAAAGTTATGGACTTGGCAAAGTAGGGTCCTTTGACATTTGTTCTAGTTTTGTCTTGGTTTAAGCCCAGTTTAGCCCTGACACTCTTGGGTTAGTCCTGGTCTAGTCCAGGTTTATTTTCATATTTATTCTCAGGTTACTTCCAATGGTGAATGTGCAAGTTTGGCAATGAACCCACATGTAATACAGAAATGTAAATGGTGCATATTACTAAGGATATGTACATTTTGGTAATTACAGTGAAAACGTATTCAGTCAATATGCACAAATAACTGCGAAGTAGCTACTACAATTTCATCCCATAATCCCAAGAGGACAGTTTCTACGAAATAAGAATAGTGCATATTAAATCTTTCCTTCGTGGTTAATGCTAAAACACTGACTGAGCCATTTGGACTCATTTTAAACGGTTAAAACTTAAATCACAAAATGTTATCTTAGACAGTGCAGCTAGACTGTTAAATTAAGAATGGTAACCATTTAGCCATTTTACTGGGGCATTAAGAAGACATTCTTTGGCTCTTTGTTTTAAAATGGACTCTCTAAAGCAGTGCATGGACTGAAATTGCACATTATAAGGGCATTCAAAGCAGCAGGTACATAAATGTTTGATCTATTCTTGGGCATAATGGTTGTGAGATGGGCTTTTAAGAACCCAAGTCCATGCCACAATGTGGCGTTGAGGTCCAATTAGAGACAATAGGCCTCGTCTGGATATGAACCAAGCTGCAGAGAAAAGCTGCCGACTTATGAAAAGTGCATGAGGGTGTGCTGGCATGCTGCAGTGGGATGGGGGCTCGAGCGCCCACAATAGCCTACACATACAATATACACACTCTAGTGATGGCCTTTCCCTGTCTGAGCATGTGGCACTGAGGCAGCAGGAAGGAACTTCTGGAGGATTATGCTGCTGCTGTGCCAAGACTGTGGCAGAGGTTTGTCATGGTGAATTTACTATGCAAGTGTGGAGGATACCAACAGACAGTGTGGGAGTGAATTATGCCACAAGTTGATGCCTTCATTTTAGTCAAGAATTGATTAAGTGGAATCTTGTATCAATACTTCGGCCAAGGGAATTAGATAAAAATATCAGTTCCATATTACAATAATAATTGTAGTGTGCTTTACAGGCTTGTTTGAAGCCTCTCAAAGCATATCATTCACTTATTATTATTTACATTGACTCTGTGGTATGGCTACTATACAGCCACCTGCCCTGGGATAGATTGATAGCTGCTATTAGCCTCTCAACAGTGACAAGTGTGCTCTAACCGCAGAGCAACAGTCGTTCTCAAGTTATAATCTGTCAATGCAAATAGAAAGAAGAATTCACCAGTGCATTGTTTGTCACAAAGGTATTTTCATCAGCAGGTGTGGGTTTTTATTTCAATTACATTTTAAGTCAACTGTTATAATGCATTACAATATAAAGCCTGCAATTTTGCAGAGAGCATTTCATGTGTGGAATCTAATTATAAACTCATTTACACTTCAGAGGAAGAGCTATACAAAGCTTTTACTGCCATAAAGCCTGTATAGCCCCATAATGGAACACAATGGAATTCTATGTTTGTAGACATTGAAATATGTATAAATATATAAATATTGTTTATTCATAGTTTATTACACTGAATTACAATTGTATCGTAAATACCAACGGACCAAATTTTTCGTTATCTTTTTACATCCATAGTTTGTATCCACTTGTTCAGCATCCTTATTTTGCAGCCACAATTCAATTGTATTTCATCTGACACCCACAAAACTGATGCTGTCCAGGTGTTCCAGCAGGGTGGCACTACATCTCCTCACAATACAGCAATGCACTGTCAGTCAATAAAGTTTCAAGGGCAAGCTGAAGTCCTGGCACTTTTCTACTAACTACGCCCATTCACTCTCCTTACCTCACTGTTTACCACACTCCACCACAAAGATGCTGACTGCTGGAGAAGTACGGAACTGTCAGTGCACAAGATGAAGTGTGCGTGCACCTCCCACTACCTCAGCCAGAAACTCCACACAATTAGTCCACCAAAACCTCTAGGGATGGCTGCCTCCTGGATGAATGGTTACAGCAGGAATACCACTGTGAATACATGGTACCAGCAAGGCCAAAAGGAATACACTGGAGAGCATGTTTGAATATGAAAAATATTGTTGAAATGCTGGCTACTAAATGTTTTAACTTTAATTTAACAAACCTTATTTGAAACGTACAGATTTTAAGGTTTAGTAAATTGGGAGATGCTGTGAAGTGAGATCAGTACAAGGAAAGGTCAAATTCTGACATGAGTAATAGTAATATTGAATATGAAATTTGCTAAGGAGAGAAGTGTAGCTTCATCAGTAGGCGTCCCGTGTGTTTTTTGCATCTATATAAGACAAACTGCCAATTATAGAAGACATATTGTGGATCATTATGATGAAATCTGCATATTTTAAATCACAATATTCATCTAAAACAACTAAATAAAATAAACTAATTTTGAAAACTTAGACTGCTGCCTCCGCGACCCGGCCCCGGATAAGCGGAAGAAAATGGAATGGAAGCTGATATGGCGTCTTGAAAATAAGAGATTAAAGATTGCTTAAAGATGCACAAATCACTCCAAATACAAATTTGAGTGTGTAAATGGTGAGGGGAAGCTGTAACACAGTTAAAAGCTCTGAAAAATCTGTTTTGCATAATAGGCCTGCTTTAAAACAAATTTATTTTTTTATTTTATTTTTTTTTACATTTACCAGTTTCTTTGCAACAACATTGTTCAAAATAAATGCTATTTAGACTATTGCAAATACCTAGAGTTTATGACCCCGCTACTTCTCCTCACTATGACAGAGTTTATGAAGCAAGTGGAGAGAAACATGTTACATGTCACTTCAGATTCTTGCCCATTCACTTTGATATGAAAATAGCGGGTGCAGCAGCAGATACCAAGAGCCCATGCACGGTCAAGATCTGAAGCAGGCATAATCTCTGCATCCTCTTAGCCTACTTGTGCCAGAGCAAAAAGTCTTTAGTTCAATAATGCAACACTATACTACACACAGACAGAGCTAATTGCATTGAGTTTGAGGGAGAAAAGTTTCCATGTTAAATAATCATGCATTCAGTCCCCATCCTCCCACATAAAGCCAGTATTAATGCAGCTGATGGACTCAGTGATAGTCGACTCTTTAGACTTTTATACTGTGCTTTTGAAGTTAGCTCTGTTCCCCATTTAATACAAAGCATATTCATGCTCTTTACTTTGACCAGTAGATAATTTATAGGCAATACTTTTTCCTGGGTTTTAACTTTCAAATAATAATAAACACAGATTACTGTAGATATCTATTGATGATGTTTGCAATAGAACTCCAAACACAAATGAACCATTTGCAATGATTCTGTGGATGTATTCCAAACTAGGATGGGAGAAGGGCATTGGGAAGGATCTACAGGCAAATGCACTGCCAATTCTGTGGGAAAAGACCCAGTTTTCCCAGTGATACAACATTTAGCAGTATTGTATATTTCTTCTGAAGACATATGCAAACAAATCTATGCAATGTTGTGGGAATATGGAAATAGACATATTGTCCTTGCTTTTGCATTGTGAGATTATACCGCACAGAAGACAGAAAACTCCCTCTTCAGTGGCTATTTTCTTTTCTGCACTGTATTTCTGCATAGTGCTTAATGTTTCATTACTCGCTTGACTAATGTGGAAAATTTACATCCACCCTGCTCATCAGATCTCTACAGTCAACACTTGAAATTTATATTAATCTATTTTCTATATTTTGCAGTCAAGCCCAGACAAGACTTGTGGCAGTCCTCCAAGATAGTCAGCAGAGCAAAGACACAGCCTAATAGCGCCCCCATCTGGACTGATACAAACTTTCAGTCCAAGTTGCCCTGACACAACATTGTTTGCTCTAAATGTAAAACAAGAGGCATGCAGACGCAGAAAGTATTTACATTTTAGTATTGCACACAAATTGTATTATAAACATCAAAATAATTTTCCCGGTTATATAGAACAAAATGAATAGCCCTATGAATTCAAACACTCAACATGAAGGATGAATCATAGCCCTTGTACACATAAAGATTTATTTCATTCTCCAGATTTACTAGGTCTTTACTTAGAACTACACACTTAATTTTGTTGTTTGTGAAAACTGTGACCTA